CCTAATTAGCTGATCTCCAATTTTCAAGGGTGTCACTGATACTGCTTTCAAAATCTGGTCTCGTAGACGTTGCTTGGTAAATTTCACTACCACTTCCGCTGGCAGCTGATTCTTCTTTGTAAAGTTGGAATAGGCTCTGTAGGCCAAATCCATCTCTTCTTTTATTTTTTCCGCTTCACTGCCAGTAAGTGGTGCCAAAGCTGTCGCCAAAATGTCTCTGAGATCCTCCTTTTCCTCTTCTTTCAACCCTTGAAATCGAAGAGTCAGGTTTGATTTCTCCATTTGAAGCAATAATAATTTATTGTCCTGTTTCTCCTGATGTTTTTCCACTTTGATGACCTTCTTCTTAACTTTCTGTATTTCTTCTGTTGATGCCAGACACTTCTTTGCAATATCATCTACCTTGTCAGCTGTCTCTGTCATTTTCTTCTGTTGAACACTATAGGCACTTTCCATGCTATCCAGCTTTTGGTTGATTTTTTGCAGTTCCTCCAGCAGATGGCGCAAATGATCACCTTCTTGTTGATTGACAGCAGCCCCAGCAAGGGGCTCGGACAGGAAGTCCCTCTTGTCTTCTTCGTCTGCTTCTCCACCAACTTTTTCTGCCCCGCCATTTTCCGCTTTTGTTTACAGTTTAAATAAAAGTTTGTGCTACGCCACTTAGGGATGTCTCCCTCTTCACCGCTTCCAGCTCCCTCCCAAAAGGTAATGCGCTTTAGCCAATCTTCGCTTCGCCCCCCTTTTCCGCTTTTAAAAAGTCTCTTTCTCCGGTGGGGGGGGAATCCTCCCTCCTCCCTCTCGATCTCCCGGGGGACGGAGCGCGCTTATGCCGCCGCTTCAGAATTAATCACCAACTCACAGTTATTCGCTTATCTTGGTTTTTTTCTGGCTTTACTTTAACGCTCCATCACTCCGCTGTTCCGGTGGCGTTGCTAGTCCCCATGCGGGGCACGACACAGCAGGGGCCGTTTGGGGCAGAGGGAGAGCCTCAATTCCCGACCTTCTGGCCGGCAAGAGGCTTCTCCCCTAGGCGCCCCCTGGTTTGGAGCCTTTTCGCCAAGGCTCCTTAGGATCTCCGCTTATGCAGAACCCCCCCAAACTGAGTGTGGGCGATCCGGCTCCGGGAGCGTCCCGAGAGCCGGTCGCCATTCGCGCCGCCGTGGCCGGAAGTCTATTTATTCTGGATTTTTACAACATCAATCTAAATTATTCCTATCAGTATACCAAAAACACACAAGTGTTAAATATTACAGTAAAGCTAGTATATGATAACACAAACAGTGATAAAATCAGGCTTCCTTTTATTGATATTGATTTATTGGGCCATGGCTCAGTGATAGAGCACCTGCTTGGCGTGCAGAAGGTCCCAGGTTCAATCCCCAGCAACTCCAGTTAAAAGGAACAGCTAGGAGGTGATGTGAAAGACCTCAGCCTGAGACCCTGGAATACCGCAGCCAGTCTGAGTAGATGACACTGACCTTGAGAGACCAATGGTCTGATTCAGTATAAGGCAGCTTCATGTATTAATGTGACCGCTGGTAAAAGTAAGACTCAACAAATGAGTTTCAGCTCCTTTAAAATATAGCAAGGATCAAACTTTGGATCCTGAGAGGAGGAAATCGCATAACCTGGTTCTACAACTCAATGCATACCCTTGGCATCAGAGACGATCCAGGTGTGACCTTCATGTTTGATAATTCCAGGAGGTCACCTTCACCTGATCTCTGGGATATTAAGAACAAGCCCTCTGCTAGCAAAGGGTCCGTGCTGTCTAGAGCAGCAAAAAGCAAAGTGAAGAAGTAACCACAGAGGGAGGCCCAAAAGTCTATCTTCACCAGCAATTTTGAAAAGAACAGAGAGTTCAGGAGGCAAAGGACAATCTCATGTGTACATGCCGGCTCTGGTACCCACAGTTCAATGGCACAAAACATCCTTTGCATGGAGAAGGTCCAAGGTTCAATTCTTGGCATCTGAGCTGCTGCCAGTCAGTTCAGAATGCACCATTATGGGCTAGAAGGACCAATGGCAAAAAAGCAGCTTCAAAGACATAAAAATTCTGTGCTGCTAAAAACAGATGCAAAACCCAAAGTAACTAGACTGAGCCATTTGCAAAAAAAAGAAATTCTCCAAACTATATTATTCTACAGTGGGTATTATATTATCCTGTTTTCACAAACCTCTTTAAGACAAGAAAATAACTGACCCGGCCTTCTTTATTACTGACCAGCAGAGAGATCATTTCCTTAGCAACTCTCATGCTTATAAAGAAAAGCAAGGATAAGGTTGAACAGAATTAAAAAACAAAAGAGAAGACTTTAACATCCTGGTTTACAGATGCAGAGGGAAGTGTCTTTGTCTTTACTGTTGTGGAACATTCCTCAATCTTGTAAGCAGAACTTACTTTTTAATTTGGAAACTGTGATTGTAAAAACTATCTTAAGTGTGAAAATGATTAAGCATATTGCCAGAGATAGCATTATTTGTGGGTGCAAGTCATTACAGCCAAAACCATAAAGTTCAGAGGAGATATATCACCAATTTCCACATGTTAGGGACTAACTAATGTTTATTTATGACACTTTCAACCCACCCTTTATCTGAAGAATTACAGTAATGTCTAGGATAACAGACAACATTAAATGAAGATGATGAGAAACACAGAGACCATCCCTGACATCTGGGGGTGAGGGGAGGGAGGGGTGGATTCGGTTCTTCTAAGCTTCAAAACAAACGATGAGAACACCATTAAAACATATCAAACAGATACGGACACACAGAAGCAGAAAGAATTTTTTTATATAAACTGCAGAATATTTCTTTTCGTACAGTAGATGAAATCTGTAAGAGAAGCAGGTTCCACGGGAAATAAGTTCATATCATATATATAAATGATAACACAAACCGTAATTGTAGCCCCATATACAATTACTTGGGTTAACCATTCAGGGCTTTTTTTCTGGGCGGAACGCACCAGAATGGAGTTCCGGAACCTCTTCGACAAAATTCTTTTTAAAATGTTTAAAAGTTCATGAGTTTTCAGTACACAGATTGAAAACTTTATTTCCCTCTTGAGAGTTCCGCCACCTCTTAAATAAAGAGGAGGAGGAGGAGATTGGATTTATACCCCGCCCTTCACTCGGAGTCTCAGAGCGACTTACAAACTCCTTCCCCTTCCCCTCCCCACAACAGACACCCTGGGAGGTGGGTGGGGCTGAGAGAGCTCTGAGGGAAACTGCTCTTTTTCAAGGACAGCTGTGTCAGAGCTTGTGACTGACCCAAGGTCACATCAGCAGGTGCAAGTGGAGGAGTGGGGAATCAAACCCGGTTCTCCCAGATTAGAGTCCGCGCACTTAACCACTACACCAAACTGGCTCTCTCTAAAAAAAAAAAAGCCCTGATCATAATAACACTTAAAATTTATTTAGAGGATTTATAACCACTTTTCTCCAGATCAACAGGACTCCAAGAGGCTTACATCAAGCCTAAGGCCAAATGCAATGTCAGATCAACAAAAGCACAACGAATACAAACCAAACGACACTCTCTGATCATGAGCGACTGAAATCAATGTTGAAAAGCTCTATTTTACAGAGCTTCTGAAAACTGGTGCAACACTTCGGAAGAAGAGCATTTGGAATAAGGCCCTTCCATTTTTATTCTGATACAAAACAGGTGTTCCAGGAGAATGCACAGATGAGACTAGACCGCTAACCAACAGGCTCATCTCTACCTTTTAGTATTATTGAACACCTGGCCAGTGGCCACCTGAAGCAATGGTGAAAAATGTTGTTGATGAACTCTGCATTTGGCACTGAACATTTATTTATTTAGACAGATTTCTACCCTGCCTTTCCCAGCCAATGGCGGCTTACATAAAACAATGCATAAATTACAATAAAACGATTAAAACACTTAAAACTGTACTGCCACCAATTGATGACATAAAGTACTAGTATTATTGTCCTTGGTTGTTGTTGTTGCTTTAACAATGGCAGCCATACTTATCAGTTCTCTCTCCAGATGATCGGCTCTCAGATCTCCTTCAGATATCGTAGAAGCGGTTGGCACTGGCACCGTTGTTAAAATTCCAGGGACACAGGGCTCTCCATTCTACTGCTGTTAGCTACTGATGATATTTAGTGGAGGTGGCGGCTCCAAAGGCCTGGTGGAAGAGCTCTGTCTCACAGGCCCCGCAGAACTGAAAAAGGTACCGCAGGGGCCTGATCTCTACTGGGAGCCCGTTCCACCAGAGCAGAGCCACCACTGAGAAAGCCCTGGCCCTGGTTGTCACCGTCTCGCAATTATGAAGCCAACAACAGAAAGGAAACTTAATAAGAAGCTGCCATATGTTTCAGCAAATAAGAACTGCTGGAGCAACTTAAGCAGCAGACTGTGATAACAACTTCTTTACTAACTGCAGAGCTGGAGTCAAAGCTGTTCTGGTTGGGCTTTTCAAGAATCAGAACAGGAATGATGGGTTGTTCTCACAGTACAACAGGTAAATTGCCACCTGGATGCACATAACGTTCACTGTATGTTTAGTGACATGGTATTATAACAAGGGTGGATTTGGCATTCCCGTTACTGTAGTTTTCATTCTGTTGTTCTGGTTTGTCCTTAGCTCTCCTCCCATACATATCTTCTTGGTCCACACCACAAAAGCAGGTGAACTCTAAAAGCTCACATCTCAATAAGCCCAGATATTCTCTAAGATGCTGCAGTCCTCTCTGTCTTCTTGCCGAGAACAGAAGAACACAAGGGAAGCCATGTTGGATCACGCCAATGGCCCATCCAGTCCGACACTCTTGTCACACAGTGGCCAAAACCCAGAAATCATTCACCATATTTACAACCATTTTTCTGATCGTAGCCACAGAGATAACAGCTTTTAAGGTGCCAAGGTTCTCACAAAGCAGGGATCTGCTGCTGAATCCAAAGCACTGGCGGCAAAGTAACATAAACATGCACAAGGGTACCTTTGACTGGGATTTGTGACTAACCTTTCCTCAGCCCATTCACACTGCCTGGCTCCATCCCCAGGGACGGCCTTTCTCCATTCGTTCTGTGCTCTGCACCACCCTCCTCCTGGACCACAGGGGCTGGACCCTGTTGAGAAAGCTCCGTTCCGTCTCCCACCTGGTAAGGCTCACCTGTCTGATTCCGCCTCACTTGGCTCGCCAAATGGTCATCTGTCATAGTGAAGTCCTGATGCTGATCTGCCATTCTGTCACAAAGGTTATCTAGGGGAGAAGAGAGAAGAATCTCACAGAATGTCCTTCTTGTACATTCCAGAAAATATCAGAAGGTCTGAACTAGCTTTCTTTGGGTATTTTTAGCTTTAACAGTGGTTTGCACCCATCGTCTACATTTACCTTCCAAGCAGGTTGTTTGTTAACAAGCACACTTTCTAAGGACATGGAAAACAGATTACAAGAACTGATGCCGAATGATGGAGACTTACGGTTCTTCTAAAAAAAAATTGGGGGGGGGGGTTCCCCTTATAAAATTGAATGCAGACTAAGCCCATTCTGTCACTTTGTCTACTAGGCCAGTGTTTCCGATCTGTGGATCCCAACTAGACTCAGAGATCTCCTGCCATTACAATTGATCTCCAGATTTTTTATAACTAACGCACTGAATATTAAATTCCAAAATTTTAAAATATATTCACGATGGTACTTAACACCTCAAAGGTTAGCACATATAATACCCAATGTAAACCCACAATGCTGGAAAGGATGCGGAAGTATTGGAACATTTAAACACTGTTGGTGGGACTGTCCTTCTATTGTTAAGTTTTGGAATAAAATATTAGAACATATTGAAAAAATCCTAGGAACAAAGGTACCACATACTCCCGAATTTATACTTTTAAATTATTGGCCAGATATTAAAAAACCTGGAAACAAAATGGATCTCCTATTAATTTTTCTCATTGCAACAAAAACTCTAATAGCACAAAACTGGAAATCAAAAAAAATTCCAAGTGTACGGCAGTGGTACATGAGGGTATGGGACTTGGCAGTCACAGATAAACTAGCATCCCAGATGGTAGCAGCTGACCGGATTAAGACATCAACTGACTTTATGAAAAGATGGTTTTCTTTTTTTGACTTTGTTACTAATTCTACAAATAAGATATGTTTGGTACCTAAGAAATATCTAAAATTTGTATTTTATTAATAGTTCAATAATGTTTATATTCAGAGCTGTAAAATGTAAAGGATGTTGAAAAGCAAAAACTATATGGTTTGTAGTTTAAGATGTTTGATGGTTTGTATTTTTTATATAAATGTTATTAATAAAATAAAATAAAAGTTTAAAAAAAACAATTGATCTCCAGATGACCAAGATCAGTTCTCCTGGAGAAAATGGCTGCTTTGGAGGGTGTACTCTGCGGCATTACACCCTGCAGAAGTCTCACCCCTCCCCAAAGCCTGCCCTCCCCAAGTTCCACCGCCAAATCTCCAGGTGTTCCCCAACCCAGTCAGCAAGCCTGACCCAAATGAACATCCTAAGCTTCTCCAGTTTTACTGATTTGTGCATGCTTTTTATTTAAGTAGGTCACCCTATCAAGTAAATTTGTAGGTCACCATCCCAAAACAGTTGGGAACTACCTTACTAGACTGCATTGCCATTTGTTGGAAACCATCAGGGTTAAGATGTTTGCACTTTTCCACACAGCTACTTCAGTGTGGGAAACAAGGCAGTTTCTGTCTGGCCAAACGTCTCACGAATCTTTCTTCCAGCCAAGATGCCCCCCCCCCCTTCCCACCTGGTCATTTTACTAGAGAGTCCTCCTCCCAAGCGATAAGAAAACAGGAAGATTAATCAGGAAGTGAAATGTCCACCCCCCCCAAGGTCTGATTTAGGTTCCCTCACCCCAAAGATTTGGTTTAGGGGCCTCAGGGTCAAGCTCCCATGGAGAAGGTTCCACCAGATTTTAAAAAAACAGTTCCAGACCCTCCCAAGTTTGGTGGAGAAGAGAGAACTTAATGCAGCCCAATTGTCAGTTGGCAATTTATGACTATCTTACGCACATCGTTCCACGACGAAGCATTCTGGAGTCCAAGCAAAAGATGGACTACTATTTGATTTTATGGATAACACAGTATGGATGGGAGCAATTTGAAACCTCTAACTACAGAAGTCAGAAAATGAAACTCATTGGATTGGATCCCACGATCAGGATTCTCCCCTGTGTCCCCCTTCCCAGCAGCCTCTTCTAATCCCAGGAAAGTCAATTTCCGGAGTCACAAAGTCCACATGGGCCAAGAGTCATGCAGGTCAGGGATGTGCAGTGGGAAGAGGGGGAAATTTCCCTCTCTTTTTTGGAAGGAGCTGCTGAAGTAATGGGAAAACATGCAAACAAAATCCACAACCATCAGTCTTTCCGTTGACAGATTGTAGGATCCATCCTATGACTTTTTATAGCAACCAAGCAGAACAAAGTTTGAGTCCAGTGGCATCTTTAAGGCCAACAAAGTTTAATTCTGGGTATAAGTAATACAAAATTAGAGTCCTGGGGCACCTTTAAGACCAACAAAGGTTTATTCAAGGTATGAGCTTTCGTGTGCAAGGCACACTTTTTCATATACACTGGAATGGTAGGTGAAGTTCAAATTTATAGACAGGGAAATTAACATGTAGCCATGATGATGTTTAAGATATGCAGAGTCCAAAATAACAAGCTAAGGTTATAAGGTCAACAGCTATAAAGCAATAAATATGTCCGAATAGCAGATAAATGTCCAAAGGTGTATTTTCTAATTGTGGGAAACAATTAATAATAGTTAATTAGTAATAGTTAATTAATTAATAATAGTTACTTAATTATAATAATTAA